AACAACAACATATCATTCAATAATTTCTTTAACTTTTCCAGTTGTTTCTTTCTCTTTCAGTCTCCATTCCACATCACATAATAAACTACAGAGCTTTGATATCAAGTATAGTTTCTATCACATTCCTGAAGTAAAATAATTTCTATTTTACATTTAAAAGATTAATCAAAGTACTATTTACTGCACATATGAAATTTATATCTAAAAATACTATAAATTTATTTGTCTGATTAAATCATTCTAGGAGACAACTTACCATTAAGAGTTTTGTGTCATTGTGTTGATATGTCAGATCCACCAGTATTTCCACCTCCCACAGGTAAGAAGGTGCATTGAAATCCTGAAGACACGCGGTTTGTTTGAATCCACCAGCTGCTCTGCAGGAGAAGGATGGGCAATCCCTCCATGCAACTAACTGCTCTGAAAACCCGCCAGTCAACCATGAGTTGGTTCCAACTCGACGGTACACAACAGCAGGTAACCACACCTGCAAGTCATCTTCTTTCTTTTAGTGTCATTTTAGTGTTTACATAAGAAACTTTGAAATTTATTTTATCTAAGTTCAGCCATTTTGTTCATACTTTTTCTCTGACCTTTTCAGTGACATCGTTTTGTCATTTAACTGTGGTTTTAATTCAGGTTTTTCTTTATTATACTATATTCTGAGATTAACAACACACTATGAATCAGGTCAAGTTAATCCCAAGTATGTACGTACGCCCATGCTTTCTACTCACAGCCCCATTAGTGGCTCACTTCCCCACGTTCTCTGTGGAATGTGCATTCGATGATTTTCTTTTCTTTTTCTTCCTTTTTTTTCTTTTTTTTGTGTGCCCAAGTTTATTGAAAATATTATAGCATAGCAGAAAGACTCAAACAGCTCCACGTGGTGTTTTGAAATTCATCCCAGCTGTGGGCTGAGCAACCTGCAGGTTGGAGAGACAGCCCAAGTCCAAGAGCTTCAGCATTTCCTCGGTATCAGGATCTACTTCAATGATCTCCTGATCCAGGGCTGAGACCTCTGGTACATAATGATCTCTCCCTTCTCTCTCCTCCTCCTGCAGCTTCATGGAGATGCCTCTCACAGGCCCTCTCTGAATCCGCTTCATCGGATGTGTGACATAGCCGGCTATCTTGTCCCGGAGTTCTTGCTGGGAATAATGGTGATCTCCTTGCACACGTGTTTGTTTGTGTGGAAGTCATTTCCCAAGTGCATGTAATATTTCTCATTGATCACCCGGGCCACCTTCTTCATGGTTTTAGTGTGAACATGACCCGTGTTGTTTGGTCCTTGGTGAAAGAGGAAATAGCTCCATGATTTTCTGGACAGTTCCAGAGACTCAAACCTATCAGGGAATGGCTCACATGACTACAGCTATGCAGGCTGTTTTTTCTTCTCAGGAACTGGTGTGTAATGGGCCAGGCTGGACACTGCTGGATGCTGAAACACAGCCGTGCTAGCAGCTCCTGTGTTGGGGATTTCACACTGTCCTCCCCGCATGTGGAATATGCTCTTATAGTGACCCTCCAGGTGTTGCTGATTTGTGAGACTGTGTCCACCATTGAGGTAGCTGGAGACCAGAGGCTCTAAGGTACTGACTAAAAAGAGCAAACTTTAGGCTAACGCTGCAATGTTGTTGCACGTATTTTAGAGAATTCATTCTCATTAACTAGCAGTCAATTATATTAGTTTTCTAGATGCACTGTCTAATCTAATATGAATACCCACATCTCCCTGGGTTTTAGCTCCTACAGTGTGACACTCTTTTCTATTAATTCAGAATAAACGCTGTTATTTTAGGAGACTACACTGAAGAAGCAGCTAAGGAAGCTAACAATGGAAGATCACCTGTAATCAAAGATATATTCTAGGTGAAACGTTGGTTGGGATCTTTGGTCTAGCAACTACACTGCCCCCTCCCGGAAAGGAGGCAGATGACTTGTGTGTACTTACTGTGTGTAAGAGGGACAGGAGCTCTGGTGGTCGAGTGGTAAGACACTGCACTGCAATCACAAAGGCATGCAGTTTGAATCTACCAGCTACTTTATCAGAGAAACCAACTCTCGTGTGATTTATTGCCTCTGAAAACCTGCTGAAGGGCCAGCTAGGTGTCAATTCTGACTCAATGGTACTTAAGAAGACGGAGGGAAAGGGAAAGGGGTTGAGTATGAGGGAGAGGAGGAGGCAGAGGAAGAAAGGAGAGAAAAGATGGAGAGTGACAGCTTTGGGGGGGCTGCAGCCATGTGGACAGCAGTTTGGGAAGAATGTCTGCTTCCAGGTGGGTCTTGGATCCAGGTCCTCCATTACTTCTCAGAGGCTGAGAGTCTCCTTCCTTATGAAGGGGTCTCACACTGTTTGTCACGGGCCCCTTTGTCAATCCTATTAATCATAAGAAGTTCAGCAAAAATTTACAGCACTTTATAAAATCATAAGCTTAAACATTTTCTTATTACCAATAAGCTTGATGATTGTTATAACCTAAGAGTTATGTAATAAATATTTCTATAACTTTCTGTTAAACCTGTTACACTTGCTGCCTACAGCCTTATTTAACAAGTTTAATCTCAACCTTGGTTACAGATTTCAGAAAGGGTAGTGGGAAAGCTCTAGAGGCCTCCTCGTGGTAAAAAGCTGCTCTGCAATCCCACAGACACCCAGTTTGACTTGATCAGCCGCCAATGAGGTGGGCAAGGTTTTCCCGTGTGATTAACCACCTCCAGAAATCCACCGGAGGGTTACCTATGGGTTGGTTCCAACCGGATGGCACGCAGGAACAATAATAGGAAAATAGCCAAAGTCTCCAGTAGATGAAAATTTGAGAGTCAGACTAACTGAAGAGGTTTCTCTGAAACTAGTAGCATAAACATGTTTCACAGACACAAAGCAATCCTTTAACCAAATCAGAAATCATGATTTTGTCTTTGTTTGACAAACACTAAAACATTGACAAAAAGAAAGAATGGTTTCTTTACAAAATAGAAATGAAAATCTTACTTTAATTCAAATGGAATTTTTAACTGATATTTTAATGAAAGTTTATAGAGAACTTGGGTTTCCATTCATTCCTTGTTGCATGTCTGAAGTCACTCAAATGAGGGGCAATAGTACTTCATTCTTTTTGAGATTTATGCTTATATGATCTTTGATAGCAATACTCAACCTAGGTGTTAGGGTTAGGGTATACATAATTTATCCCATCTTTCTCAGTCTCCCCCAACCCCTATTTCAGTCCTGTTTTACAACAGTGACACTATGCAGTATTTGTCCTTTTGTCACTGAGATATTTCACTCAGCATAATGTTCTCAGGGTCACCCATTTTGTATACTATTTCATGAATTCCTTGTTTTCAATGCAGCGTAGTATTCCATTGTGTGAATATACCACAGCTTCTCTGTCCATTCGTTTGTTGATGGCATTATAAAGTCTGCAAATGCAGCTCTTCTGGTTTTGACTGCCATGTGTTATTCATGCTGGGTGCGGGGACAATTTGACATTTGCCTTTCTTTAGAGACTATGGTTTAAAGGGACGTGTGCAGATGCTGAGCTGACGAGGGATGAGCTGTGATGGTTACGGCTATTTGCCACTTTGGGTCATGATTCTCTGACTTTGTACTTACGATGCAGACATACCCCCATGACAAGAACTGATGTAACTACGTTCATGAGGAGATATTAGATGAGTAGACAATCACTTGAAAGAAAATTCTCTCAGAGATGTGGCCTGTGTGGAATATATGTGGCCATTCTGGAAACTCTAACTTCTCGCTCAGTTCAGATACTGCATCTGACTCATCATCATCCCATTTCAATTTTTTATTTTTTTTTAACTTGAGCCAGAGATCAGCCACACCACCTGCCAGCTTTGAGGTTTGTAAGGCTCTGGAGCCTGAGAGCCTGCAGCCTTCCTTCTGACCTGTTGAACTTGGGTGCACTAGCCCCTGCAGTTACTTGAGTCAGGAGAAGCATCTCACCTCGCCTCTGACCCATGAACTTGACACTTGTCTGCCTTTACAGACAACCACGTAAGCCATGAGAAACATCTCTTTCTTTCTGTCTTCTCTGCTTCTCTCTGCATGTCTGTACCTTTGTCTCTCTGTCTCTTTCCATATGTATAAATTTGGTTAAAGGCATAAAGAAGGTATCTTGATTCATTTGTATGACATTCCACAAGCTGGGATAACTCCTTTCACCTTCTCTTTCTCTCGCTGGGGGTCTCTGTCATCAGCTTCCTTCCTGCTCTGCTAGTATTTCATGTTTAGAATTTCCCTTTGCTGTGAGCTCTCTCTGAAGGGTTTCTGGTACTCCTTCCCAACCTCATGCCCCACCTGTTTCCTGAGCTGGGTTTGGACGAGTTTGTGTATCAAGAACAGCTGACCCTGCAGCGCTGTGGACTCACTGCTGGCACAGAAATACACGGCTGAGTCCTCCAGCTCCGTGGGCTCGATCTCCATGCTACACCGTGAGTTCTTGAGACACTGAGCTGAAAACCGCTCACTGGGCATTCCTGATTTATCACTGGCTTCTTCATTCACAAAATAAATCATAAACTTGAGCTCTTCTCCCAGCTTCTGATGATACCAATAAACATAACTGTGTCCTTTGATGGGGACACACTCCATCCTTGCTTTCTGCTTTGTCCCTCTGACCAGCTGTCCTGGAGTCTGGGTGACCTCAGTGTCCACGGAGCCTGTGGAGGAAGGAGACAGAAGCTGGAGAAAAGCCCAGGAGGAGCTGGTGATGCAGCCCCAGGAGGAAGCCCTGACACCGGAGTCCCACAGGGTCACCACTGACCTGCTCCCAGGACACACAGGGCCGCCAGGCAGAGGATTGCGGGCCCCATGGCTGGGCAGGGAAGGCGGGCTGGTGGACTCTTCTCTGACGCTTCTCTCCCTCAGCATCAGGCCCCATATCATGGTGTCACCTCCCTCCTCTTCTCCGCTGCTGTGGGCGTGACAGTATTTCAAGGTGAGTGAGGGGCTGTACTTTAACAGGTGGAACAACGAGGGTGCCTTTTGGCCTGGCTTTGGTTTCTTCTCACACTGTTTATTTCATTTGCATTTCCTCCATTTGTCATTCTACCACTCTCCCCACTCCCCTTGTTCTGCTCAGACCACACAAAAGCTCTGTGTGTACCCGTGACAGCTTCCGCCATGCTCTTAAACTCTTAAAGCAGCTAATTACATTACCGATGAACTCTTCGGTTTATAAACTCACCTTTCAGAAGAATCCAGTGGACGGTGAGAATCAATGGCCTGAGGACTTTCTCATGAGCTGACCCACTAGGAGCAATTCTGGGGGTAAGTTCTCGTCCTGTGTCACTCTGCAGATTCCCCCACCAGGCTTCCCCCCCTGTCCCCGGTACCTGTAACCTCAGGTGCAGATGTGCCCTTCACTGGTTTCTCACTTAGTTTATTTTTCTCCTGAGTGTGCTTATTCAGAACTTGATACAAAGCTCTATTTATTTCAGACTTTTAAAAACACCTTCCACTATTTCTTCTAAAGGGAGCTTTGGTGGCCTAGTGGTAAGAAGTTGTACTGCCAATCCAAAAGTTGTTAGTTCAAATCCACTGGTTGCCCTGTGGGAGAAAGACTAGCAGTTCCTCTCCTGTGAGTCACAGCCTCTGAAAACCCACTGAAGGGTCAGTGAGGCGTCACTTCCAACTCAGTGCTAATGAAGATTGGGGTTTTTTAAAAAAATATTTATTTTAAAGAATTTTCTTCATTAAGGTCCTCTCAATATATTTGTTCTAGGTTCTAGATTTTTTATTACTAATAGTAAATATTTTACCTTTCTTTAAAAATAAATGGTTCTTCTATTTGTTCTTGTTGTTTGCCATTGAGTTGGGACCGACTCATAGCTGACCCTCCAGTGTGTTTTCAGAGGCTGAAAGTCACAAAAGAGGAGACTGCCCATCTTCATTTCATGGTGCAGCTGGTGGATTTGATCCACGTGCTTTTGGGATTGCAGCACAGAGTCTTATCACTAGGCCACTAGAGCTTCCTATTTCTTGTGAGAATTTTCAAACAAAATGGACAAATATCTTTGATTATTCCCCAATTCTCCACGAAAATATTTTTAACATTTAGTCACTGACCCTTAAGAATGCAAGAGTGGGGTCACATCAGAGAAACCACTTGTAATTCCAATGGAGTTGATGTACAGCCCTTGTTCTCAAAGATATTTTTAATTCTTAAATAATAATGATAAAATTTTTGCTTTTGATAAACATTTTTTTTTATAAAACAATAAGATGTGTTTTACTCTTTTAAGCTCTCTACTTGGAAAACTGTATTAATTATTTAAAACTGACATAAGCTTGCCCTGTTGTAATAAACACATCATTGGGTGGGGAGTGACCTTTTGAACACCTTGTCAGGTGTAGTGGCCGGATTCTAATCAGGAGTTTTCTTTAGCATGTGCACGGGTCTCGGCACCTTGACAGTGAGTAGCCACATAGGACCTCGGGTTTTCCTTTCTGCCATGTGCGCCTCTGACTTCTTGTTCTTATGTACCATTGGGTTGCTTGCGACTCATAGCGACCCTGTGTACAACAGTCCTAAACCCTGCTCTGTCCTGTGCCAATCACACTGCCTCTGACACACCCATCCCAATTACCCCAGTCACTGAATCAATCCACCTCATAGAGGGCCTTCCCCTCCTGCTCCGTCCCTCCACCCTCCCAAGCATGATGTCCCTCTCCAAGGGCCCGTCCCTCCTTACAACATGTCCAAAGTATGTCAGACGAAGCCTCAGGATCCTTGCCTCCAAGGAGCAGCCCAGTTTAACCCTTTCCAGGATGAATCTGTTTGTTTTCTTATCAGTCCATCGTAGATTAATACTCTTCTCCAGCACCACAGCTCAAAGGCATCAATTCTCCTTCTATCCTCCCTAGTCATGTCCAACTCTCTGACACATAACAAGTGATTGCAAAGACCATGGCCTGTATCAGTCGCGCCTTAGTCTCCAGAGAGACACCATTGCTCTTCAGTACTTTAGAGAGGTCCCTAACAGCAGACTTTCCTATCACAATACGTTTTTTTATTTCCTGGCTACTGGTGCCAAGAGTGTTGATTGTGGAGCCAAGCAAACTAAAGCTGTGAACAATCTCAGTCTCTGCACCACCCATCCTGATGCTGCCAATTGGTCCAGTGGTGAGAATCTTTGTCTACTTGACATTGAGCTTCAATCCATATTGAAGATTGCAGTCCTTGACCCTCTGCTGCAAGTACTTTAGGTCCTCTTCAGTTTTAGTAACCAGGGTTGTGTCATCTGCAAAACACAGATTGTTGATAGATCTTCCACCAATCCTGACGCCATGTGTGACATGAAAACAGTGATGCCAAGGCCCATGTGAACACACTCTGAAGAATAGAATATATGAATGTAAAGCTTAGGAACAACCTGAGTAGGAAAAATCAAAGTCAATCAATACAGAAACTCAAATCAAAGAAACCCAAAACCTCACCTCAGACCTCGATGTGTATGGGCTGACTGCAGCACCGGGCCCTCCTGGGTGTTACCAAATTGTCACTCTCAGGTCGATATGTTCTCTGTAAACATCTATTTTTTTTTTTCAGTATTAGATGTATTTTTCTATACATAGATCCCATGTCTACAAGCAAACTTTATTTCAACTTCTTCTCTTGGACAATTTCCACCATAATTTGGTTTGAAAACCCTTTCTGCTCAGCACTCAAGAGTTTTGTGGTTTGAATCCACCAAGTGCTTCCATGGAGACTGACAGGTGAAGAGACCTGACCGTGTGTTGCTCTGAGTCAGAATCTGCTTGGGGGAGGTGGCTTTGAGTTTTCGTTGGCTTTTTATTTTGTTTTTAGCTATAGTTACAATTATAGACTTTTTGTTTATGTGCTTTGAAGTTATGTTTCTGTTACTTCACACCAACCTCATGTCCCACCTGTTTCCTGAGCTGGGCTCGGAAGAGTTTGTGTCCCAGGAACAGCTGACCCTGCAGCGCTGTGGACTGACTGCTGGCGCAGGAGTACACGGCTGAGTCCTCCAGCTCTGTGGGTTCGATCTCCATGCTACACGGTGAGTTCTTGGGACACTGAGCTGAAAACCGCTCACTGGGCATTCCTGATTTATCAATGATATCTTGGTTCTGAAAATAAATCATGAACTTGAGCTCTTCTCCCAGCTTCTGGCGATACCAGTAAACATGAATGTGTCCTTTGATAGGGCTACACTCTATCCTTGCTTTCTGCTTTGTCCCTCTGACCAGCTGTCCTGGAGACTGGGTGACCTCAGTGTCCATAGAGCCTGTGGAGGAAGGAGACAGAAGCTGGAGAAAAGCGCAGGAGGAGCTGGTGGTGCAGCCCCAGGAGGAAGTCCTGACACTGGAGTCCCACAGGGTCACCACTGACCTGCTCCCAGGACACACAGGGCCGCCAGGCAGAGGAGTGTGGGCCCCATGGCTGTGCAGGGAAGGCGGGCTGGTGGACTTTCCCCTGAGGCTCCTCATGCCCATGAGCTCCCTCTTGTGACACGGTCACCTCCCCCGTCCTCCAAGCTGCTGTGGGCGTGAGATGCACCATTTCATAGGGTGAAGGTGGAGCTGCATTTTAGCAGGTGGATCAACTCGTGTGGGTTTCACCTTTTTTCACTTTTTTTTCTGACTTTCACAATATATTTCCATACACATTTATTGATTTATCTTTTTAATATTTATATGCATCTCCTTTTTAAAACACTATTCCATAGGGAGCTCGGGTGGCTTTGTGGCAAAGAATTGTACTGTCAAAGGTACATGTGCAAAGGTTCATGATCTGAATCCGTGAGCTACTCCACAGGAGAAAGATGGGCAAACAGTTCCTGTGTAATTCCTGCCCCTGACGACCTCTGAAGGGTCAGCTATGGTCACTGCCATTTAACAGCACATGACAACACTCCTTAAACACAACCCCCAAATTGCCCTCTAGGTGATTCTGACCCATAGCGACACCCCCCATGGGGTTTCTTAGGCTTTAAATCTTAGGGGAGTAGATCATCTCTCCCTTCCCCACGTAGATACTGTGGATTCAAACCTCTGACCTCTTGGTTGCAGTGTGACACATTATGCATGAAGCCACTAGGTTTCCTTTTCCATACGATTTCACATTACTCTCAAGCTCATTTGTTGTTGTTGTTAGGTGTTGCAGATCGAGGGTAAAGTATTTTAATAATTGTTAATAATGAGACTGACAACCAGGAATGAGATAGAACAGCGAGCGTAAAAGACAGGGGGCAACAGTTCCAATGACTGAAGGGCCTCAAGCCACACCTTTCTGTGAATTTACTGACAATCAGGGGAAGCAAATCACAAAGAGAATTCTCTTGTAAATGAAGCCAAACTTTTTTCTATTGTCAACCTAACACTTTAGCTCAGGAAGGAAGTATTTCACGTGTATTAATAGTCCCTCTGTAGGGGTCCCTAGCTGTCTCTTGTCTGCAGGAAACAGCTCATTTTCTGTGATCTGTCACAAGAGAAATCCTAACTTATAAATTTGTAAGTCCTTCAATTCCTGAACAAGCATATGGTTTCATCTTTGGTATGAAATTTGGCTTCCCATAGGTGCCATCAATTCGAGCATGAGTCATAGTGACCCTGTGAAGGACAGATCAAAGCCCATCCTCTCCTGTGCCATCCTCGCCATCTCTGGCACCCTTAAGCCCGTTGCTGCAGTCACTGCATCACTCCATCTCAATGGGGGTCCTCCTGTCCTTGACTGCCTCACCCAGGATCAGCTTTTCACTGTCGTTGATTACCGTCAAGCGAACACTACTCATAACAACCCTGTGAACAGAAGGCCTGAACCCTGTTCTGTAACTATCATCGTTCCTGCAAGTTCATAGAGTCTCCAGAGGCATGTTGTTTAGGAAGTCGATGCCACTCCTGCTTCCAAGATGAAATACTGTGCTATGTATGTGTACTTACTACACTTAAGCCATGGGCAGAGGGACGGTGACAGAAATGCCTTTGCTGGGACTGGTCCTTCTAAGATGCTGTGAGACCGTCACGTCCCTGGGCTGAGCTTTTGGATTCCGTCATCGCTTTCCCGGCCTCCATGAAAGAGTCCTGAAGTTAAGATTTATCAAGTGCTTATTTTTTCATGAGTTTTAGCACTTCCATAAGAATCTACAAAATTCATTTTATTTATTTTATATAATTTTGGATGTTTTTCCAAGTTTAGTCATCCACTCATACTTTCCTATCACAAGCTGCTTTTATTCAATGTTTTAGCTGTGATCATTCATGTTGCTGCAAACATTTTTAGATAATTCATTGTCACTAATACTTTAAAATCTACTGACTGAGTTTGCAGGGGTACTTTCCTCCCTTGTATTAATGCCCTCGTCCCACTGGTTTTAGCCGTACAGACAGCCCTGGGCCCTGCACCTGCTCTGTGTGTGGTTAGACCTGAAGGTGAAGACAGAGGCTCAGCATCAACATGCCAATGCTGCACGTGAGTAACACAACGCTTCTAAGGTGAGTAACACAGGTACGTAGTCCAGCAGGCACGCTGAGGAGAGCGTGGAGGTGCTGCACAGCCAAGGCTTCCAACTCAGATCTCACAGCTTCTCATCTAGTTGGGCTGTTAGGTTAAAGACACATTGCACCTGATATGGACTCTGCCAGAGGGCCACGGTTTGCCGGGTTTTGTAGGAGGTTAAAGCTTTGGCTTGTAGCTGTATGCTTTGTATCTTTCTGATAATGAGGAGTATCGGTCACAGCTCGTAGGTCTCTATTTGTAGATCACTAGTGCTTTTAGGGAGCTCTGGTGGACTGTTGTTGTTACGGTTATGTGCCATTGACTTGCCTGCTACTCATAGCGATCCTATGCACAACAGCCCTAAACCCTGCTCTACCCTGTGCCAAAGTTATTGTCTCTGATACACCTACCCCATTACCACAGCCACTGATTCAATCCACCTCATTGAGGGTCTTTCTCTCTTGTGTTGTCCCTCCACCCTCCCAAGCATGACGTCCTTCTCCTCACAACATGTCCAAAGTATGTCAGATGAGGCTTCAGAATCCTTGCCTCCAAGGAGCAACTTGGCTTCACCCTCTCCAGGACGAACTTGTTTGTTCTCCTAGCAGTCCATGGTACATTCAATACTCTTCTCCAGCACCACAGCTCAAAGGTATCAATTCTCCTTCTGTCCTCCCTAGTCATTGTCCAGCTTTCTGATGCATAACAAGTGAATGCAAAGGCCATGGCCTGTATCAGGCGCACCTTAGTCTCCAGACTGACATCATTGTTCTTCAGGACTTTGGAGAGGTCTCTGACAACAGACTTTCCCAATTCAATTCAAAACCCTTGGAGAGTCAGCTATGAGTCTTTTCCAACTCAATGGCTCAGAATAATAACAGTGAGTCAGCTCTCGTGGTCCAGTAAGTAAAGAGCTGCACTATCAATCTACAGGCACTGGGTTCTAATCCACCAGCTTCTCTGAGGAAAAAAGTCAAGCAATCTCTTCTCGTGCAATTTACAGCCTCTGAGAACTCACTGGAGGGACAGCCATGAGGCAGTTCTAACTCCAGGAGACTCAGCTGTGACAGTGTTTTTGATTGGAACCCCTAGCTAATGTGCACACTGCTTATGTGGTGACAGCTAACTGTAGGCTTGTCAGTTCAAGATCATCTGGAGGCACCTTGGAAGAAAGGTCTGGCGATCTGCTTCCCAGTGGAGTGAGCTCTGCTCTTACATGTAGGAGGGTGTCTTAAGTGGGAGTCGACTTAAGTTGACTTAAGACTTAAATTGCCATGGCAACCTCCTCCCCTTCCCTGCCTATGCCTCTCTGGTCCCTGACATCTCTTTGACTCAACCATTTTCCGGTGTAAATAGAGCCTTGCGACTTCCAAGCTGGTTTTCTAACCCAAAAATTTTACAAAGTCAATAATAAGTAAAAAAAAAATAAATAAAAATAAAAATCAGCCTTTACCTTGATGGAAGACTGCACCAGCTAATGGATATTTCCTTTCCCAACATGAACACAGATTTACACACAGCCATACTCAGCATCTCAGAACACATGATTGTGCTTATGTGAAACCTATACTTGGACCAGGAGGTAGTTGTCAGAACAGAGCAAGGAAACACTGTTGTTGTTATGTGCCATCGAGTCGTTTGCAACTCATAGCGGCCCTATGTACAACAGCCCTAAACCCTGCTCTATCCTGTGCCAATCGCATTGCCTCTTACACACCCATCTCGATTACCCCAGTCACTGAATCAGTCTACCTCATAGAGGGTCTTCCCTTCCTGTGCTGTCCCTCTACCCTACCAAGCATGATGTCCCTCTCAAAATCAGGAAAGATGTATGCCAGGGATGAATCCTAGCTCCGTACCTTTTCAATCCATATGCAGAACAGATTATCCAGGAAGCTGGGGTCTGTGAGGAGGAGTATGGCATCAAGACTGGAGGAAGACTCATCATCAATCTGCATTATGCAGATGACACAACCTTGCTTACTGAAACTGAGGAGGACCTGAGGCATTTGCCACAGAAGGTCAAGGACTGCAGCCTTCAATATGGCTGTGATCCAATATTCAGTATTTCTTCAATACTCAACATCAAGAAAACAAAGATTCTCACTACAGGACCAAAAGGTAGCATCATGATAGATGGTGAAAAGATTGAGACTGTTGACAGCTTCAGCTTGCTTGGCTCCACAAACAACATTCTTTGTAACAGAAGCCAGGAAATAAAAAGACAAATTTCACTGGGAAAATCTTCTGTCAGGGACCTTTACAGAACACTGAGGAGCAATGATATCATTCTAGAGCCTAAAGTGCTCCTGATTCAGGCCATGGTCTCCACATTTACTTGTTATGCATAAGAAAGCTGAACAATGACTGGGATGAAAGAAGAAGAATCGATGCCTTTGAGTTATAGTTCTGGAGAAGAGTACTGAATATACCATGGACTGCTAAGAGAACAAATAGGTTCATCCGGGAGAGAGTGAAACCAGGATGATCCTTGGAAGCAAAGATTTTGAAGTTCCATCTGACATACTTTTGACATGTTACAAGAAGGGAGAGGGACATCATACTTGGAAGCGTGGAGGGAAAGCACAAGAGAGGAAGACCCTGGATGAGATGGATTGGCTCAATGACTGGGGCAATGGGAGTAGGTGTATCAGAGACAATGAAATTAGCTCAGGATAGAGCAGAGTTCAGAGCTGTTGTACACAGGGTCACTTTGAGATGAAGTTTACCTGATGGCACATAACAACAACATATTCAGCATAGGGACTTCTAGTGGCCTAGTGGTAAGAAACTGCACTACAATCCGAAAGGCACGTGGTTCAAATTCACTAGCTGTTCTGCAGGAGAAGGATGGACAATGTCCTGCTGTGCGATAACTGCCTCTGAAAACCCACTGGAGTATCAGATATGGGTCAGGTCTGACTCAGTGGTACCCAACAACAA